GATGTTGGAAATGATCCTAAGCGCCCCTGTTGGTCAGAGTGTGTAAGTGCAGCCCAGTGGTTCCACCACCATCAGTCCCCATGGAGCTCCAGAGCAGCCTCTCCTCCCAGACATTTACAAGCTCTCCTCACCGCAGTTTGTGCTGTTTACCCCTGTCCCATTATACAAACAAATTGCGTAATGTGTTTATCTAAAACGCCCCAGACTTTCTTGAAAGGTTATATAAAAGTGTATATTGACAATAAAAATTAATGCTTGCTGGAATCTTAAATAAGGGCTCAATATTTCTGTCCCTGGTTATGGACATTTATGGACATTTTTGTAGGGTTCAGAAAAAACATGTGGAGGCTATATCAGGTCAAAGATCACTGTTGGTTTCTGGCGCTGTCTTGTTCCAGTTGATGTTGTTGTTGACATCCATGTTGTTATTCTAAGTTCTGGGGAGCCTGGGAGACTGCGGAGCCCAATCACGTCACTAATTGATCAGGTGGTCACGGAGAAAGGGTGGGCTGCCAGCCTGCCTGCCCACACGAGCTACACCCCTGCATGCCCGTCCGCCGCCCTCACCGCAGCTCTCAAACACAAAATCTGCTTTGAGTTAACGTTTTAAAACTGTTTGGGTTTGTGTGAGCCGCTGCATGTGTGTTCCCATCGTCCCTCTGCCTCCTCGGGACGTCTCCAAACTCAGTTAGCACTTCTAACTGTGGCCCCGTGGCGGCTTGGCTGACCGGGTGGCACATGGCGGGTAGTTTGGTTCTCTCCTATATTAGGGAGGAGTGTTTGGAGCCCCCTCCTCTATTCCTTTCGGTCAGATGTTGCCCACTCTGTCTTTAATGATTTGACTGAAATCTTTGCCAGCACCACAGGCTATTAATATATCTGCTCCCTCGTCTCCCACTTTACCTCTTACTGCCCTAACCTCTTCCTCTTTTAGCCCCAATACCCGTTTCCCCTTCCCTACACCGGCACTGCACAACATGTTCTTCTTTACAGCAAAGAGTCTTGCTTACACTCAGTGTGTCTCTGTGACTATCTCTTGGTCTGCATGCTGTGGAAATTTGTGGATATGAAATCGTCATGTTTCTGTTTATTACTTGGCTTCAGCTCTGGCTCCAAACAGCCCACAAGGCAATGAGCTAACTTTGTTTCGTCTCTTTTAAACAGGCCTCTCTTAGGCAGTCAAGACTTCTCTGTTGGATTAAGAAAAGCAGACACTGCTGACATTAAAATGTTTCACCAGAGTACTTAAGTAAAATCCTAGCTGAGAAGTAAATTAAGGGAAAAATGTATGACGATATTTAGGAGCTGATTCCCTGTTTTTGCACCACATAGAGTTTTATGGTAAGATATCATTATAAGCTTTAAAGGGAAAATTTGCCACCTTTTATATGGATGTCAAATCCTTGTTAGTTAATGCTGTGTTGCCTTTAAAGGCATTTTTCTACTTTGTATAGATAATTTGTTTATGCTCATTACAAAATGAAAAGATAGTATTGTAATGTTGTCTTTTCGTTCAAGTCATGATCACTTCCGGTTTTGTCACTTCCTGTTTTGTCACTTCCGGTGTGTCACTTCTGGTTTTGGTAGCTTCATTGGTTGAAGTCAAACAAAAGAGAGCCACATGCTCAGAGGTGTAATCTGCTCGCATCCACCTGGAAGCATCCTAGGAGCAATGCTGGAGCAAGTACTCTACTTGACATTGGACATAGTGGGCATTTTATATCAGTACAGTTGTCTTGACAAATGGGTTTGATGTGTCACTTAAATAGGTTTGTGTTATATGTAAGTTTGGAACAATGCCAGTGTTTTTATGAATGTTTGTTGATGTCCAAATGATCTATGTATGTTTGTATTTACAATAACACTGAATATTTTGTATTGTTTGTATTTTCAGTTTTCACCACACAACATGTTAAAGGAACAAAGTGACAGTAAAAAGGGTGAAAATTACTACGACTCTGTCTTCATTAACTGTGGTTTAGCTCGGTGTTTAAATCAGAGTTTCGACACACTGAACGAGAACACTACAAATGCAGTTCATTGAAGCAATCAATTCTTCAGTGCGTGCTATATTTACCGCAAAAGCTGTTCTTTCTGCATCCAGCGCCGTCATTTGACGTAGTTGGAGGCAAGGAAGAACTACATTGTTTTAATTGACTCGGAGGTTCAGCCGGCGGGGATCCTCCGGACGTCAGTAGTTCACGCACAAGCATACCGGCATTTAGGCAGTGCTGGCACGGCTCTACAAGCACGACAACTCAGCTTCCTCTGTTTAAATAGCACTGAGGAATTTATTGCTTCAATTTGCTACATTTATGATTGGTCATCCACAAAACGGTTACACGGGGTAATTTTATGCTTTTACTCCATCAAGGCAACTTAGGACCAGGTCACTTGTCAAACCCAGACGATTAGCCTGCAGAGTCTGTTTTAAACACAGTTTCAGATTCATAAAACCTTTATTCTTTTTCAATTCAGGTCACATACGACAGATAAGTGTAGTGATTTTTATTATCTGGGTTTTCATTTCGATACGAAACACTTTTTTACTGCTATAAATGGTGCATAAACAGAGAATCCGCCACCAAATTTCATGATGTATGTATTATCTTCTACGAGTTGGATGTTAACCTCAGCATTGTTCAGTAAGAATGAAACATCTTAAACAGACCGTTTATGATCTGAAAACTGATGACTCACCTTTACCCCTTTAGAGAACACTGGACATCAGGTAGAAGGCTGTGCCAACGTGACCGCGACGGTGCCAGTGTTGTCCGGTGTGACGACCGTGAAGAGCGGGCTCAATCGGGGGTCGATGGACACCAGGCCTCCTCTGCACAACAAGCTGATCCAGAAAGATCAGAACAGGAAGACCCAGAGCTACAAGGTGGAATCGGTGTCAGGAGGAGCCAATATGGACATGCACAACTTCTCCCTGGAGAACAAGAGGGAGATTGAGTATGTAAGTTACACCCAGCGGCAATGAGAAGTCTGTAAAAATAGTTAAAACGGTAAAGGCAGAGGCATCAAGACAGCTGTATGACTGTGAAATTAAAAGAAATGACTAGCTGGATGTTTTGTCTTGGCTTAAAGCCGTTAGCTTGCTAGCTATTTATTCCTCAAGCTTCTTTGTATTTTGTTTAAATTATTTACCATTGGACGAATTTCATATTGTTGGCCTTTCGAAGACAGACATCGTTAATAATGTCATTGAGCAACAAAACAATTTTAGCTTTTTATACAGGACATTTACCTTTGGACAAAGTAACATTTTAATCAAATGAAGTGGCCATTTGAAAACATGACGCTACCCAGGGAGAAGAATAGAACCAGAGAGGCTAAAATGTTCTTTTGCTAGCTAGTAAGTGCTAATGTTAGCTACCTTGTATTATGCACGCAATATTTATCTTATGACAAATTAAAACTTGAAAACAATAGTGTTTCAAAAATGTACATTATGAACCACACGTAACCGCTGAAAAGGAAAGTTTCACAAAGAGTGACTAAAAACTGCAAGTCAGCTATAGCGTTAACCGCGGCAAAGCTTTCATTTGAGGTATTCAGGCCTCTTCAGAGTGAAGTCTATCCATTAGTGCAGCGTCGTGGGTTTTGTGTCTTGTCAGGATACTTTCACTGAGACATCACTGAAATTACATAAATTGACGATGTATTGCAAAGTAATTAGCTACATGTACAGAGCTGTGTCTTTGAATTACAAAATAAATGTAATTATTATCAGTTACTGTAAATTTCGGCTTCTAATCAAAATGTTGGTGATTACAAAGGGATTGCATCCAAATATGTTCTTTTTTTGTAAAGTAATCAGGGGCATTGTAATTAAGGTGACACGGGTTCACAATTTCTCAAGGCCGTCTTACAACTATTGTTAGGTGCCCCTATAAACGTTGAAACAAACAAGCATACAAACATTTTCTATGCCATAAAACATTTTCAAAGCTTTTGTTAATATTGGCTTGGCCCATGTCTTTATTACTATCTCTTTATTATCTATTTTATTCTTAATTACCACCAACCTCTGTCGCTAGGCATCAGCACCATATGCCTTGGAGAGACAGCAGCCTGCAATTTATTCATTCAATTCCTACGAAATGACAAGAAGTCAGGGGAGAGAGATGGGGAACGACTTGCAACAAAGGTCCACCTTGGGCAAACTGCAGTAGACAATTTGAATTGTCACAGTAGAAAAAGCGCAGGTGCAAATAATAAAATGAATCAGCTGCTTTGATGTCAGGGTCCTGGTATTGATCATGCTGGCCTTTGTCACTCTCACTGGAGCACTTAAACAGAATGGAGGAATCGCTAGTGTTATTAGTAACACCTGTGCTATTCCTACTATGTCTGCTTGCCATTTGTTGGAATCGAAACACCTACAGACTGCGAGCTCTCCATGGCACATGGTTGCAGTTTGCAAGAATGCATATCACTGTCAACACGTGGTGTGTTTGCAGCCTCGAGCGTGTGCAGGAAAACACAAGACACAAACACTTCGGGGAATCTCAACAAAACATTGCTTTGCAGAGCAATTTGTGGTTAAACACTCCACAGGCTTTTAGGTTATCTACTGTAATTTAAACGACATATTTTTGGTTGTATTCTATCAAACATTTTGTGCGACAAGGTACCAATTTTCGGACCCAAGGTCTCATTTTCGGACCCTCAGTGGGATCATTCATCACAGCAACTGGATGCTCTTCAGACAAGCAAAAACATTTCAATTTTCCAAAAATAGCAAACTCAGTTTTAGGGACTTAAAAGAAGCCGCGCAAGACATTCAAATGATTCAATTTTGATGTGATGTTGCAGCCATGAAATTTATGGCCATCCACGATTTTAATATATCTCTTTATGTAAGTATCAATTAGCCCAAAGGTTGTGTTTGACCAAGCAGAAACCAAAAATATGTTATCATACAGTGTACATGGGGGGGAGTTAATGGGACATTCAGGGCTCAGGAGGTTAACATTTATAGACTCTTATGTTCACCATGAACTTATAACTGTAATTGCATGGACACTCATGTTCCTCATGTCCGTGATTGTGTTGGGATGAGTGTGTAACACTGGCCGTGTTTGTCGTGTTGCTAGGGCCCGTGTCGGCGGGAGATGGAGAGCATCCTGAGCGGACTTAAAATCAGCAATGTGCTCAATCCGAGGGGCTTCCGCATACCCAACTGTGACAGAAAGGGCTTCTACAAGAAAAAACAGGTGAATGGCTCTCCACTCTGTTTCATCTCTCAATTTCTGTCACACACTTAAACACACACACACCTGCGGACATGCAAAAAGACCCACCGCATGCCTGAACACTTCCAAAGAATCCTCTCCGACTCATCCCACCCACCCACACATGCCCAATCCCCCCCTTTTTTTTCATCTTTTGTTTTTGCAGCTCGGGTTGCCTTGACAGCCACATCAACACTATATTATCAGAATGGCTAATAACCATGTATTACTCCGGTAAATGCACTGCAGCCGTCTGACTCATGCCTCACAGGAAATGAAGTCGGTCAGGTGTGTTTGTGGGTGTGTGGTGTGGGAGAGTGTGGGGGGTAGGGATGTAAGAATGTGGTCTGGGAGTGTGTGTGGCACGGTAGATGTGGCGGGAGGGGAGTGTATGTATGGTGCTTGTTTGATGGCGGTAGTTTTGGTGAGGGTGTGTAGGTGTGGGGTGCTGTTGGTGAGGTAAAGAAAAACAAACAGGCTACTAACTGGTTTAGTTTTTCTTGTCGGTGGTACAGCAGACTCAGGGCCACCCATAGCCTGCTCATTTGTAAGACGGGGGAAAAAAACAAGGAAGCTAAACTTCATTTGGAGTAGTCCGGCGGCTGATGTGCTGACCTTAAGGGGAGGGAGCGATGAGGCGGGGAAGGCTGAGGATAGATGGGAGCTGCGGTGGGGCATTGTTGAGACACACGGCATGTCAAATAAATACCACCATCACATTTCCTGAGGTTGGGAGCCTTATCGGAGGGATTCCACAGAGCTAGAGCCCGTTCTGAGAAATGCATGAGTCACCAAAAAAAAAAAAAAAAGCCACAAGAACCATGCGTCAGAGACCAACTCGAGCCATAACAGACACACACACATACACAATAAAATCATCCTCTCAGATTCCCACCTCACTCTTTCCCCAAAGTCTCCAAAGTGAGGTTTCATCGCTACTTTCATTAAAATCAGACATTTCGTCGTTCTTTTCCCGGATTCCATCAACAAATACCTACCAGGAAAGCGTCAGCTCTGGTCTAAGTGTATGTGTGTGTGTGTAAATGTGTGTGTGCAGCAGTGTGCCAGCCCTTTTCTCAGAGGGCCGGTGGGGTGCAGAGTGTTGTGTTAAATTCATCCGAGGGGATGTGCCTTCACGGTGTGTTGCAGAGATTTATGACCGGAAACACAGCGAAGAGGAGACCGTGTGAACCGTCTAGGGTGACAATACTGTGAAAAGAAGGGAGCAAGGGGGGGGGAGGAGGTGGGAGGGGGGGGGGGGGGGGGGGGGGGGGGGGATGGGTGAAGGACTAAGCAGAGGAAATAGGGGCATAACCATACACATGATACACAGGCTGCCTTCGTATCTCAAAGTGATATTGCACCCGAAATCTTTTAATATCAAATGCTTACGAACTGTTGAAAGGTGGCTGGTAAGAGCTGGTAGTTTTATCTTTCATTTTCCAACAAATAGTGCCAGGAGTCAAACAGGGAACTAACACACCCTTTTTACTATACATAAGTCTCTTTTGTGCATTCCTTATAACGGATTAGAAAACAGTAGATAACTGTGACGGTTCTCACACAAAGAAACAATAACATGCAGGCATTGTGTGAGAATTGCAGATGCGGAAAATCTTTCTCTTGTTTTTTGGCTATAGTCAAGAATCCAGCTACATTGCTATTGTTTCAATCCCATCCCGGTGACATCGGCAACAAGCACTTCTTGCTTTTACTTTGAATGAATACAGATGTTTTTGCAGCAGTTTTTTTGTTTTATCAGGGATACTTGATCAGTATGTGATATTAAGTAGTACTGCAGACTCTGCACTGAAAGTCGCACGGCCACTGCAAAGTACTCACTGCGGAGAGGGGAGTCATATTCAGAAAAAAGGTCCAGAGTTCCTGATGAGCATCTTGGATTCCTGGAAAAGAAAAGCATCTGAGGTCGGATTAGATTCATGTTGTCTACTCAATTGGTGATACGTTTTCACAGCACAAGAAAATGATCATAGAAATATTTGCTCCCTTACGGTCCACTCCACATACAATGCTCAGTATGTTGCAAACATACTGCGCTCTGCCAAAGTATGGCTGTACACACACTGCTGTCATTTGTCACTCTTCACATTTGGCACTTGTGACTAATTGAATGTACTGAGCAAACGGGTGGATTGTGGGAAAGCGGAATCTACATTAAGGATAACGTTTTTGTTTTTTTATAAAAACACTTTTTAACAGCCACTTTTGTAAGACTACAGAGGGTGAGTCTTGATACTAGAAGGATTGATTAGGGGGTGGAATCTTGTTTTAAGGGTCTGCTATCACAAGGAAAAAAAGTCACAGGCATGCATGTGTGTGGTTTTCTGTGTACATGTTGCTGGTAATATGAGTGCCCTAGCAGTGGAGGAGAAGGTTGAGCAGGGTAAGCCCTACCTCGCCTACGGAGAAACCTATTTTTAGCAGCAGTTATATGAATTAGCCCAGTATCCCAGTTCAGGCCACGCATGCCCAACACTGACCCACTCATTACACCCCTCAAAGTCTCACACTCACTTTTCCTCTCTCTCTCTCTCTCTCTCTCTCTCTCTCTCTCTCTCTCTCTCTCTCCTCTCCCCCCCTGTCACTCTCAGTCTGTCTCTCTCTCTCTCTTATTCATCATTTCACCCACCCATCATTACCCCCATTGTGCCCTTCCCTACAGTCATCCACTCGTCTTTTGTTCTGCCTGCCCGCTCCATCATTCGGTCCATCCTGCCCTTCCGCCCACCTGGCTTTTTCCTTCCTTGTTTGGCCACGAATCACCCCGCAGAGGGTTTGTGAATGGGACGACAGTGTCTGTGTCTCTCTGTGTGCTCTTTCAGAGTTAAGTGTGTGTGTGTTGAGAGGAAGAGGAGGTGGAGGAGGAGGAGGAAGAGTCAGTGGGTTAAGGATGTGAGCCAGGTGCCTGCGTACCCTTATCCCTCCTCCCCCACTGTGTCCCGACAGTGCCAGGCCCATAAGGACTGACTTATTGAGCGTGACTCAGAAGGATCTGTGGAAACGTACACACCGACCACAATGGCTTTATAATAACGGGCCAACCTTCGGGGACCCAGACATCTATTTTCACTCTGTCTCTCTCTCTCGTTCCGTTCCCTCCCTGGAGTTCTAATCCACCTCGCCTTCCTTCTCACTTGGGGATGTGCAAGTCTTTTTTTGTTTTTTTTTGTTTGCCAAGGCTGTTGCATAATAGTCATATTTGTCATCACCAATGCCAATGTGGTACCTGAGTTACACTGCTGATAACAAAATTATAATTTATTAGAATATAAATATGTTTTCTACCAAACCCTTCTTCTTCAATGCATCAGTGTACAATGTCTTAACACAGGCAACTTAAATAACAAAAGTTATGATTAAGATCAGGAAGAATAAGTTATGACCAAACATTTAATGTCAACTTGTGATAATGTTCATTGCCTGATTTTACAGACGTATACAGTATTAAGTATTAAGGTTTGATACCCCATCATGATTTGGTTAAGGCTTCAGATAATACTCACTTTCATTATTGACTGATGCTTGAATCCAGATTATACCTTCTGGCTGCAATGATTCATATAAAGTAAACATTGTAATCTGACATTGTCCACAAGGGGTTTGCACTATGTGTCGTCTGTGTGAACACACCTAGTGTTGTGTAAAAATCTGTATACACTCAACTGTGTATTTTGAGGTCGTTATGTCTCAAAGATATCAAAAATAGGGCCTGTCACAAGTCAGCGGATCAGTTATTGGTGTCTTCGAATAGTTTTTTGTCCTTATTTCAGAAACCCAAAGGTATTCAATTTAGAATAATATGAAATGGAGCAAATTAACTTACATTAGAGATGCTTTAACTTGCAAATAATTGGAAATTGGTATTTTAAGTTCAGGAATGACTTTGGTGATAATCAGATTTGCCATTGATTAAGTTTCTAGAATCTTTGCAAAGTCTTTCGTCACATTCATTCATAACATATATATTGATTTTTTTAGGCTTCTATTTTAAAGTTTGTGTGGCCTCCATTCTTCTACAACTATTCACTGGGACTCTCATTAAACTATTTATCAGAGAACGCAATATCCTGTAGCTACTCCCAATGCACTTACACACACACACGCACACAGATGCACCCTCTTATACCAATACATATGCGTGCGCCCCTATACACACACATTGCATTTCATGAGCTTGTGTTTATCCTGTGGTCAGACTAGGCTCTTGTAAATGTCCGTAGAGCCCTGCGGCGCTGCTATTAGTTATAAAGACCGGCATCACAAGAGCACACATTCATGCGGACAACACGCGCACATACACGCCCCATAAAGGTGGCAGTGTGTGTGTGTGTGTGTGTGTGTGTGTGTGTGTGTGGGGCGGATGAAATGGGCTTTTTTAGTTACGGCCATGTGGACCACGCAGGGCCAGTGTCAGGGCTGTAAGGCTCAGAATGCTTGGATCAGTGAGCACCTTGAGGGAATACTCCTCCAAAAACTGGGTTTATTCTACTCGTCTCACTGTGCTTCATGGAGGACATGTAATGGTAGTCAGCTTCAAGATGTTCCAAAAGCAACCCAAAAGCAACCCAGTTTCATAGAAAAAGAAACAAATATCCATAGAGAATGTTCTGTTTACCACCATGAGTCAAAGCAACAGGTGGTGAGTGTCGATCAGTAGTCCTTTAGGTGACCAGGAGTAGTTTGTATTTAAAAGGAAACAAGTGTGGAAACAATGTTTACAACAAAGGGTAGAAAAAAAATTCTATCAGTCCTTGTCAAGTGACAGCCAGTCCTCAGCAAACGTTTGGCTGTCTTTGACATTCCTGTGTGTGTGTGTGTGTGTGTGTGTGTGTGTGTGTGTGTGTGTGTGT